GCAGGAGTGGTGTTGTAAACTGCTTATTAAGATAACCTCCTGTGGAGCAGTTTACCTCTCATGTTGGTTTTTATATCCTTTCCTTGTCTTGTTTTTATTTGGCAGTAAAAATACATTCTGTCCTGTTTTGGAAAACCTGGAACTAAGAATAACGTAAGCAGCACATAAAAAGTTTTTAAAGTTTTTTCATGTGACAAATATTAAAATAATGATCAAACATTTGTGGGACTTTATTTATTGCCAGATTCAGTTAGCCACCCAGAAAAATGTAGGAAATCCTTACAAATATACTAGCTAGGTCTGATATTTATGTTGGTGAGAGTTCTGAATGAACAGAAACAGAAAAGCAGCTTAACACTTTGGTCCAGCTAGATGCTTCCAGAAAACTTACAGGAAGTTTCATATATGGGTACAATCTAAATATTACCTGTCTTCCTTTTCTTGCATCTTTGAATGGGTTTGGTAGCTGTGCTGTGTTTCTCTATATGTATCCATATGACCCAGTATCGATGTTTCCGTGTCATTTTGTAGTATAACAAGACTATTTTGTAATCTTACATTCTCATGTTCCAGTTTGTGAATGGAAGCTGTGAAATTTCCATGTTCTTTGTTAGATAAATCTATACTCTGTGAAAGGAGATAAAACCATCATTAAATAGTTATTTTTTCCAAAATAAATGGATGTTAGTATTTTTAACAAGCAAACACGAAACAATGATGTTCTATGCTAAAGAAAGACCTAGCTACCATATATAATCATACAGCACTTATAGCAAACCAAGAGAATTGCTTCCAGAAAAGAAACACTGTAGATAAATGGAAAAGAAGGAATAACAGCCTCTATAACACAATAAAACAAATTAAAATTTCTCAACAAACATGCATTCAAAATATTATTGTTGTAAATTCATCACTTGCTTTGTGAAACCGATGACATAAAAGCAACCATAATAGCTATAGCTGCAGACTGTATTGCTCCCTCCAGTAACAATTCCACCAAAAATAACAAGAAAAATTATAGAAGTTCATTACTATACTAGATACAGGGTATGGCTCCAGGCACAATTTAATATCTGTGCCGAGATACAGTCACCTTCAGTTTCAGACGCAGTAAAGTAAAGCCACATTAGCACAGTGCTTTCTGTCTGTGTTACTAAACCCTGCTTCTCGGTTGGGTTAGCCCACATGGTATACAAGTCAAAGTACTGAAAGTGCAAGCAACACGTGCACTGCGACCAGGGGCTAAAGAGGCCCATCTGCTAGGGTATCAAGAGGGGAAGGTGGAGATTAGCTCTGGAAGTTGACTAGCCATTCCTTTTTTGTCCTGTCACTTATTCCATGAAGCCTATGCTGCACACCTGAGCTAGCTAGCTAATTTGGAACTACCTCTCTGCAGAATACTGCATTGCATGGTGTAAATATATTTGCAATAACAGTATACTGTCAGCAACAGAAAATTCTCAAAAAGTTTATCAGATTATACACAAAAGACTAAACCCCCATACATTTTATTAAGTTGGGCTTTCATATATTTCTAGATTTACCTTATTCTTTTGGAACCCAGTAACTCATGAGTATTAAGGATTTGGTTCTTAGTATACTGCTAGCACAACTGGGCTCCTGCACCTGAAAGCTTGTCAGTTCCTTGCACTAACTGGTCTGATGTCATCTCTTCCTGTAAACCTTGCCTTGCTTAGCTAGTTTTAGGGGAAATTTATGAGCCAAGCTGACATGGAAGGGCCAGAAAGTATACAAAAAGTTAATATTTTGTGCAAGGCTAGGGAGCAGGGGCTCAGCTATATCTCCCAAGTGGAGAGGAGTGGCAGAACAGAGGCAGAAGGAGAGTGTTAAGTCACCGCACCACTAATAGCTGTAGAATCAGCAGTACAGTTATAATGGCATGAACCCCAAAACTGAGCTGGCACAGCTACATTGCTTTTGGAATCTAAACAAGTAACCCTGCCTGATGATGCATTGCACCATACTGACTTAGGCTGGCACTCGTTTGAGGGGTTTGTGTAGTGCTCTACTGTACAAACACATCCATAAAAATCTCCTTGCAATCTTATTATCAAATACCTCACAATCTTTAATGTTTAGATCCTCACAATACACCGGTAAAGTAGCAAAGAATTATTAAGTCCACAAATGTATTGATATGTGTAGTGACCTTGATATACCTAGTAACTGGATTTTACTGTTAAAGTTGAACAAACGTGATATCTACAAGGATTCTTGTCAGACAGCTCTTCTCAGTCTTCATGAAGAATATCACTGTGGAGAAGAACTAGACGTGCATACATACATCCATCTATGTTTCCACAATAATATATCATATATGCACACACATATATCCATAATTTTGTACATGTCTGTATAGGTAATACATCACTGATAGACGTATATGCTATTTTAAGGGTGCGGAAAAATGTGATGTTCTTTCATGCATTTCTCAGTCCACAGCAAGACAATTAACAGGCTACAAATCCCCCAAAGATGTATTTACAGCAGTATTTACAAGCAACATTCCAGTGATAGATACGATAACTGCAGATGTTCTGTAAGCAGGGGACGTTTTAAAGCTTTTTGTGGAAGGCAGCATATGTAATATTTATTATATCCATATAAACTATAGTTCTACATGATATTATGGCACACTTTTTATGAATGAAACTTTAAATATCCCCTGTTTGGGGAGAAATCAATACTAAACTGAAAATAATTTGGGTGAGGGCAAAATGTGTCCGTTTTTTTACACTGTTATATCATATGAACAAAGGGGTAAAACAGTCAAAAAGGGCCATATTTTTGTATCTGTGAGAATGATGACTGTTTAAAAATAAATATTTTCTGAAACACGTGATGTCACTCACAAAAAATAGGCTCCCAGAAACTGTTTAGTGTCTAGTTACTGAAAAATTTAACTTCTAGTTTACTACAATTAAGGTCAAAATTATTCCTAGCTATACCCATCTTCAGGCTGTGTGTGAATACCACTTGGTTTTGACTATGTCACACACCTTATTTTTATTTATTTTACGCAAGCCAGAAATCTTTAAATCTGCCATGCTCTCAATCTACATTTACAATAAATGTAAGTAACTGTTCTGCGTATTGTATAGATTAAAAAAAAAATTACTGTGCAACTTTTACACTCCTGGTTTTCCATGATCTCTTTTAGATGTGTGTTTTCAGATTTGATAACTTTGTATTGGAAATCCAACAACTAGGAAAAGATTCAGTTCTTAGTCAAACACAAGAATATTACTGTTAAACTGAAATAACACTGAGTATAGATATATGTAAGTTTAATTTTACAAAATATACATAAAGAATTATTAAACTAACTATATATTTTTTTAAACACAGCAGAAAGAAGTCTTAAGCCATCTATAAAAGATACACAAACGCAATGCCTCTGATTTTATTTACCTTTTTGAAAGACATAATCACGTAGAAAAATAAGGGAGTTCACATGCAGTTACAAGACACAAAGAAGGACAGATTTTGCAGGCCACTGAAACTGGATGAAATCCTAGTCATGAAGCCTAGGAACGACATCCACTCTTTTAGTGATACGATAGGGAATATGGCCTGGTAAAGAGTGCCACACAGTAGGAGATGTCTCTCATTTTCCCAAACACTAACTTTCCTATTGTCAAAAGTAAAGTATTACATTCATCACAATTTTCAATATGCAGCGACCCTGTCAGAAAACGCAGAGATACCCAGAAACCTCTAAATATGAAGGTTCTTTTGGTTTACAAAACTAAGTGATGAAGATAACATATTTGTTTTTAAAACTGAAATTTGCCATTAAAACACTGGTATCTTACAGTTTTCAGCTTTGAAATTACAAGAATTTTCTAAGCAGATTTGTAACATTCTTCAAAAAGCCTTAAAAAAACCTGAAAAATTAGGAAACATTCTAGATAATCTAATAAACGGTTCGAATGATGAAGTGCACATAATAACAACAAACTGGAAGTTTTCAAGATCTTTTGCATGTTAAAATGGTAACTACATTTGATGGTCAGAATGAATTGCAATTTAGATGTACAGTTGGCATTTACTGGTGCTTTCTTGTTCCAGCATCAATTTGGCTGCTTTAGTAATACTTCACTGATATTACAGCACTGCTGATGAAAACTACAGCAAGAAATGTAATGTCTTTTTTCACAGATAATGTACGTCATTATCAATAGCGTGGAGTAAAATGATCTAGGCTTGTTTTGTCTGCTTGCATACCTGTTGTTTTGCTAACAATTTGTCTTTTATCTCTAACTCCATTTTTAACTGTCTTTCCAGAAGACTAGCTTTCTCCATGATAGTTGCTATAGTGATCTCCTTCTGATGAAGCTCTTCTGTCAGGTCAGAGATTTCTGTCTTCATTCTTTCCTGCTCAGAGCAATGGGACTGCTCCTCTCGATAAACATGGTTTCTTATCTGTAGCAAATATGTTTCAAAAAGAAAAAATGTTGTGCAGTAAATACGATTGCATCACTTGCTACCTATCAGTGACTTTTTTTGCTGTTGCTTCCAAGACACCAACTCTTCTAACCGAATCAGAGATTTTTGAGATTGTGTAATAAAATGTCTTCATGAGTCAGTGCACATAGCTTTATTTATTTTTACATCTTTTTTCAACGCTTCTCTTGTGCTTTCATTTGCCTATTTAGAAATATTTTAGAAATATTGCCTATTTAGAAATATTTTAGAAATATTGCCTATTTAGTATTAGAAATGAACAAAATATAAGGCATTTAAATTAACATTTAAAAAGAATGTAATAAAACTAATGTTAATTTTAAGAATTGGAATTTATGGCAAAGATTATCCAAGGAAATATCCATTCAATAAACCTAAGTATGATTTATTTATATTGCTCCTAAGTTAATTTAGGTTTAAAAAAAGTTTAATGAAGCCTAAATTAACTTAGGAGCAATATAAATAAATCAATCTAGAGACTTTTTAATGAGAAACTATGTTAGAAATAGAGAGTGTATATGGTAAATCACTTTATGAGAATTTTTCCTGCCATTATATGTAAAATTTACGGTCAAACTTTCTGCACTATCTCCTGTACAGAGTTCTCCAAAGAATCAACACAAAGATTGTTTTCATTGTTTTTCATTGTTTTTATTGTTTTTCTTTCTACTATAACCAACAATTCAGTACTGATAGATTTTTTTATTATGTAAGAAACAAAACTACAAAACCCAGCATAACAACCTTTGAACCCGTTTTAATAATTCCTTGCAGTACTGTACACAATCAGTAACAGATGGCATTTCATTTTTATTTATGCAAACTACACAGAAATACTAGAATTATAAACAAATAGATGCAGATACAAAAAACCTAAGAGCTAGATCATGACTATCATGCCAAAATTGCTGCATCCAAGTCAGCTGCATCCAATTAGAGATATTCCTGCTTACATTGCTTCTCAGCAAAACCACAACATGCCTGTAAGAGGAGTTCTGAGCATCCTCTACTCCCAAAGTGTTTTGGCGTGCCAAGCCATATGCCATTCCGCAGTGCCACGCCACTACTGCCTGCACACAGCACTTCTGAAATGTGCAATGCAATGTGATGCGTAGTCCATAAAGAGCACTGCCCTAAACTGTGCAGCACGTGACTGATTAAGCTTAGCCTGGTGTGGCTACCTGCCGTAGTGACTTGTATCCGTTGATCTGTTAGCATATCTTACATCTGAGACCACCTACAAACTACTACTTACCTCCTATAGCCTATGAATTACTCATAGCCTTGGCGGGTTCATTACTTGCATGGTATTATCTGAATCACAGTGATGCTCAGGTATGGTCTCTTCCATTACTTCAATGAGGTAGCTAGCTCTGTGGTTAGTGCACAGAATCAGAATGTCAATTTTACAGCTATACAACTACCTCCAGAAACGCAACCGTATAGGAAAACTTTTTCATATATGAAAACTTCATGCTCTCCTAAAACCACAATTTATCCTCCTGCTCTCTTCTGCATATGCGCATGCCCAAAGCCAGTACTTTGCTCTCTTCTAAAACTCCCATATTGCAGTTAAGATCTGGAAATACTTAATAATATGAAATACCTTGTTTAGCTCTTCTTGTTGGCATGCTTGACTTTGTGCCAATAGTAATAACTCAGCGTTTTTATTTTCTAGTTGCTCAGTAAGTTGTACACAAGATGACTGATGCCTTTAAATAAGAAATAAACAAAACATGAAACAAGCAGAAAGTTCAATAACCTTTAACTTACAGTATCCTCTCCACAGTGTAAAACTGTGGAAGATCTTCTTGCTGATAAAAAAAACCAAACACCACAACTAGAGATTTGGCCTAAGCCAGGTTGGATCTTGGGAGATTTCTAGAGATTAAGGACCATGCAAGTGCATGCAGAAAGAATCCTGAAATCTCTCGTAGATTGGTATTTCATATAATCTCAAATAGCTACAGTAGATTAGATAAACCATAAAAAGATGAAAATTCCACTCAAAGGAGGTTAGTGACAATCTTAATCACACTACTTCCAAAGTGTTTTAATGATGAGAAAATGAAAGAGACTGTAAACATATAAATAGAAATATATGAAATGCATTGATTTGTAAAGATTTGGGCAGCATTAAAGCCTTTTAACAGAGCCTGCATCTATTGCTTGCAATTTTGTCATATATAATTGCCAATGAAAGTTTATTCTAAAATTGTTTCAAATCTGACATGTGAATCCAGAGTATCTTTTTGAACAGACTTAACTTAAATCAAATGTAAGAAAAATGTTATTAGCTCAGAAATACTTGTTAATTTAAATATTTTCTTTAACATACATACTTTATTTGAATTTCCTGCATATCTTTATACTCTCTGATTTTCAATAATTCTCTATGCAACTGTTGGCATTCCAGTTGTATCCTTCTCCAGAGAGTATCCCGTGACTGCAGCTCATTTCTTATTTCTGAAAAGCCTGCCTCTATATTCTAAAGAAACAAGCAAATAGATAAGTAGTTAAATAACATTAGACAGCTCAAAATGCTGTATTATAACACATCATTTTCGATACCTGTATAATTTGTATGAAAGCACAGACATGCTTTTTTTTTGAGTTTCATTTCTGAAAAAGGCATTGCTTTCACGTCAGTTCCTTTCTCCAGGAAGGTCATCTAAAGATCAGATGCAGAATATTCTTTAGCTCTTGCAATGTTCCAATGCATCTGTCTCTGAAACTATCATAGGAAACATCATTCAGAAGTTCTTTATTGTACTAAATGCATCTAAAATACACAGTTTGCTTGTTTCAGCAGGTTCTGCACCCTAGAACATGTTTCATATGCAAGAATTAGTGCCATAAGTAATTTCCATTTTCTATATTCCTAACACCATTTCCAAATTTATAAGCTTGAAAACTACCAGGCTATAGAAAGGCAGGATTAGGTGCATGTCTTCATTAAACGTTGCCTGGAAGCTTGGAGCAGATACATCTAGACTTAAGTACTCAGATCAGGTGTCTGCTCAGTCATCTCCAAAATTAGTTCTACCTGCATGGAGTTGATTGCTTATTTAAATGAACATCATAAAATTTTCAAACAATCACAAAAAGATTTTTCTTAGGGACTCCACAAATCTTATGTCTATTTTACCTTTAACTTCTGATTGATAATGGGATAGACAACCTGAAGATGCATGTTATATTGGGCAATAAAATATATAAAATATATTTAAATATTGATATAATATATATATTTATTTATATATATATTTATATATATAAATATAAAATATATAAAATCTGATTTCCCCCAAAAAATCTGAATTTCCCCAAAATATACTGAAAACATACTAAAGATAAGAACTTGGAAATATAACCCACAAATAACAAAAGTAGCAATAATAATCAGGTTCTTGCAATAATAATATCTGGAGAATATTTATTTCCTCTCACTCAAGATCCAAAAGCACGTTCCAGATTAAAAAAAAATAAAATTCCAATGATGTTGATCCTTTGCCTTTAAAACTATTACACTAAAAACACTAGTATTTTTTGTAATTTCTTCATTTTATTTTAATACAGTTTCCATGTTTAAAAGCAAAAATAAAGTCTTTAAACTTTCAAAAGACAACTAGAATCCAGAAATGACACCACAAGCAAGGAACTTCAAAGGTTTATTTGCCTTAAAGCTTCATATTAGAATGACCTTCCTTCCAAGAAGCCTGTGGTTTTCCTCTGGCTGAAAGGGCTGCCGAAGACAGATATGAAGCGCTTTTGCATTTTTTTATAGGGACTGCATATACAGATTCATTCATCTTATCCTTTGTTAAATAAGGCTGAGAGAGCTTTTTTAAACTCTGAAATGCAAGTCTGGGCATATTCAAGTGAAATAAAGCTTAATGAATTGTTAAAATTGTCTGCAAGACTTGCTTGTGATCATCTTCATGACTCCAACATTCAAGAAATAGCCACAATTCTTTTATAATACATGAATTTGGGGGAGGGTTACCCCTCTGGTTTCATTCGGAGGTGGATAAGGGGAATGAATGCTGCACAATTGCGTGGTGGTAGTCACATCATCTGTGGCAGACTGCAGTCATCGTACATATTTACATAAATTGTATTTTCTTCTGTGAATTATAATAATAGCAGGAACAACAGCAGCCACAGCAGCAGCACAATAATAATTGAAACAGAACTTGAGGTCAAGAGTTTCACACGTCACTTCAAAAAAATCATTTAGAGATGTACCACTTATTATTTTAGGAAATATCTATTGCAGCTAGTTAAAACACCAAAATGAAAATTAATTTTGAACCAGAAAACTTTGGGTTTTGTTTAGAACATATCTAATGAAACATAACTTTTTAAGAGTTTGTTTCAATTTGAAAAATTTACCAAATCCTCTCTTCTCTTCTGTGAAAAGTTTTGCTTCAACTAGCTTGCCATGTTTGATATCAAAATGAAGTCTCAAAAAATTCCTCTTCAGCTCCTGTTCTAATTCTACTCAAAGGTGTTCAACCATTTTAATACTATTATCTGCTGTGTTTCTATGTAAATTAGTGTCCAGCAACTGACTTAATGCAGACTTTCCAAGAACCAAGCCTCCCATGTGATGTTTTCAGGCTGCCTCTCCTGTATGGCTGCAATTAAGTTTGTCAGATCATTCATAAGGTAGAGAAATAGTCTGCAGTCTTCTAAAGTTCCTATTTGCTGTACAGCCAAAAAATTGGTCCTCATACATTTCACTTTATCACTGTTTCCTTACTGATTATTAGTATGAGAGAAATATTTAGTAGCAGACATGAAATGGTCATAGGCATACAAGTTATTTGAGGCACAATACTAGGCTTGCTGCCATCAGCCTTCTCCCCACCAAGATTCCCATCTACTGCTTCCTCCTTTACCCACATCAGGTCCAACTGTTCCCATCCTCCACCTAGCACTCCTTCACGCAAACCTGCTTACCTCTTCTGGCTGACAACAGGCCTTCCACTTCCTTCTTTCTCATACAGAAATTTCTAAAAAAATATTTTCTCTGAGCTACACGTTTTCACCATACATCATTGACTTTACAGCAGTGTTTCCCTTCTGCAGCTATTTGCAAATGCAGCTTTTCTAACTAACACAGCGGTATTCCACACCACCAGCACAGTTATTCTGCAACTTTCTGCCCTTTAGCTTATAATGGTATGTACCTCTAGCTCCACTTCCACTTAAAATGTCGTCAGTGCTTCCTACAGCTCCTGTACTCTATTCACATGATTCCAAAAATCCTCTTGCTTGAAGATTTTCTTAAAGGCTACAGCACAATGTCATTTGCTTTCTCCATCGTACAGCATCTATCCACCTGCTCCAACTGCCATAGAATAGAATAGAATAGAATAGAATAGAATAGAATAGAATAGAATAGAATAGAATAGAATAGAATAGAATAGAATAGAATAGAATAGAATAGAATAGAATAGAATAGAATAGAATAGAATAGAATAGAATAGAATAGAATAGAATAGAATAGAATAGAATAGAATAGAATAGAATAGAATAGAATAGAATAGAATAGAATAGAATAGAATAGAATAGAATAGAATAGAATAGAATAGAATAGAATAGAATAGAATAGAATAGTTCAGTTGGAAGGGACCTACAACAATCACCTAGTCCAACTGCCTGACCACTTCAGGCCTGACCAAAAGTTAAAACGTGGTATTAAGGGCATTGTCCAAATGCCTCTTAAACACTACCAGGCTTGGGGCATCGACCACCTCTCCAGGAAGCCTGTTCCAGTGTTTAATCACCCTCTCGGTAAAGAAATGCTTCCCAATGTCCAGTCTAAACCTCCCCTGGAGCAGCTTTGAACCGTTCCCATGCATCCTATCGCTGGACACCAGGGAGAAGAGGTTAGCACCTCCCTTTCCACTTTGATTTGTTCCACTCCATATTCTAGTCCCACTACTTTTGATGGCAGCCTTTTTAACAGGCCCTAAAACAGAGGTTTTTGCTTGCATAACGAGAACTTGCATACAGGCAAATGACTCAGTGAAATAACGTGCAAATGAAATGTATAAACAACACATGTGCTAAATTTGGCTGTTCTGACAACACCTGAAATTAACCTCCACCCCATATATGTTAATTCCTAACAAGTATATTGCATATGAAGTTATAACTCTGCAAGGTTGTCTATGAACAGAAATAGGTTATCTTGCTCCAGAAAGAGTCGAAGTCACTGTATGCCATTCAATATATTACTGAACCTTGAAATGCTTAAATAAATAAGCAAAAGCATTATTTATATATGTGACCAGAAAAAAATAGCAATGAGAATCTCATTCCTGATCTGTTTCAAACATAGCTAATAAAAAAGGCTGTAAAGTTCTTGTATTATCTCAATCTTGTCAGAACTTATATATCACGACCAAAAGAAGAGGCCCAAATGGCTGTCTTCATAGATCTGTGCTACACTGAAAAACGGTACACTAGGGATAAGATAAAAACTGATGGTTCTTCACATGGCTGGCAACTTAAAAATTCATTGACTGCAAAATCTGCTTTCAATAACAAAGTATACCATACACTTTTCTATGTACTTATTTACTAGCTATATGTCACAGTATACAACAAGGTATAAATCAGATAAAGAGATTTCATAGAAGTCATTTATATACAAGGAACCAAGTGAATGAGACTACGTTCCCGTAGATGCTATAGATACAGGAAAGTTATAAAACCCTAGATAGACAAGAATAAAATATTCTGCTACATATCAAACATATTTCTGTTTTCTCTTTAAGTGTTACTCAAAAAATTGTACTGTTCACAGCTCATTCTGTGTTCCTGAAAAGAATATACCTAATGTACAGATCTTTTATATAGGCATCTCAGTACAACTTTTTAAAGTATACTCCTAAGTAATTAATACACCAACATTAATTCCACAGTCATCATGACAAAGAAAAACTATTACTACCTGGCACTGGTTTTGGTACGTTTTTAGTTCCTCCCGGAGTTTCAGATTTTCCTCTTCTAGTTTATTCTTGTTTATTGCTATTTCATTCACAGTTGCCTTTAGCTTTTCAATAATCAAGTCATCCTTTTCACTTTTGGGCTGGCCATAGGTAATCACCTCTTCTTGGTTTTGTTTCTTATTGCTTATTGGGAATTGATAATTCTGGGTCTGCTTCTATAAAATAAGAAAATCTTTTAAATGACATTCAATAATTACATGTAAATTGTCAGGACCAAAGCATTACTACTAAAATCATAAAGCTATTTCCATTTTCACCAGTATTTGCTGAGAAAAGATGGCACAATTGCAACAGTTCGCATTACTTCTCTAAAGGATACTTCCTTTTTTTTAGTCTCGAGCTCTTTGCTCTCAGTAAGAAAAATGTTTCAGAAACTTTCAAGGGCACAGAATTTTTTCAAGGATTTCTCTCCTTTGCTGTGTATTTCCCTAGCACTTAACGTTAATTAGCCCCAAATGTGAAAAAGGTGATTATGATGACCTACTCAAAGCAGTTACCTATAAAAAATAATATAAAAGACATGTTCTTCTTTGATTCATTGAACTCAGTAGGAGTTGTGTGTGTGTGTGTGTGCGCCTCAGGATAGATATTAACCTTTGACTAGAGGGCTAGCATTACATAGTTCATGTATAAACAGCTACAGTAACTGTACTTCTTTGATACCATTATCCTTAAACCTGGGGAAGAATCATTTGCACATTCTGCAGAGTCCCACACTCCATTCAGTTTCTTGTACTAATTACAATCCTAAACCCAAAACTTCAGAAAATTGGTATTGCCGGTATTTGTGAATTCGCAGGCATCGTGAAGAAGCATAATTACTATGGTAACTGTTTTTGCTGTTTAAAAAATTATCCACGTGGATCCTTCTACTGGGAGATTAACAAGCAGAAGTAATCTTCCAGAAGACTGAGAATTAGCTGAAAAATGATGACAAAATATAACCTGGAAACCATATATCATGTGCAGAGATCAAGTTGAGCAACAAAATGTATATTAAAAATAAATAGGGTTACAAATACTGTATTTCATTGATAAGGACTGCAAAAAGGTGTGCTTTAGATAGCTTTTGATGTCATTGACTATGTTCCCATAATTTGTGTTGGCTGAACACCTAAGTAGAACTGACCACTGGCTGCATATCAAATAAAAAGCCAAAGAAATTTGCAGGTAAGCTTAATTTCCATAGATAATAAATCAAGGTCCCCCTGACATCTAAGTTATGGAGTCTGACACACCGAAATGTCAAAGCATCCTGTGAAAAATATAGTGCAAGACTCCAGCTGGAAATCAAAGACTCACAGAAGAGGAATTGGAGACAAAGACACTGGACCAATTTTGAAACAGTTAAGGGGTAACAGTCCATCAGACTTCTATTTAATAAACTAGTTGGTGTTACAATTGTGAAGAAAATTGTCTTCAAAGAAACTTCACCGATGGCAGTGATTTAAGCCACAACAGAAAAATGTGGATGATCATTCTATTTTGACTTGTCTAACTATATAATCAACATGCATCAGTCAGTAGTTTTTCTAGTCAAAGCCTTGCTTTTTTAACACATTTGTATGGAAGTTCAATAGTTGCAATATAATGCTTTCAGCATCTATAAACAAAACTTAACTGTCATCCTTGGAAACTCTGGATATGGGTAAAGAGTCTCATAGGAATTGTTAAGAAACTTTTTCACTAGATTAAGATCCAATGAGCTCAGTAACAGTGGAAAAGGGGATTACCAGTCAACAACATAATTGGCTTCCCCTTACTTAATTTTTGAGCTGTCTTGTGGCCCAGTTAACTTGTAAGTTATTTTCTAATTTTTTTTTAGAGTAGGATAGGTCATCAAGACATCATTAAATCAATATTATGTTCTGGATTGGAAGGAATTAAAAAAATAAAAATATGCTAGATCAATAGGCTATATAAAAAAGTAATAAGCAAATTGGCAAGTGAAAAAGAATCACAAAGTCAACCAAGGACTGAATGGTAACTTGAAAGCTGAAAAATATGACAAAAAATGGATAAGTGATCCAACAAACAACTCTAAATGTGATTTTGGAATAGGATATAGCAATTCATTTTTCTGCATAAATCATATTAATGTATATTTATGATCTTCAAAACATGAGGGCTATCTTAGATTTGAGGGAAATTTATATTTGAGTCAACATAGTAATGACATGTATTACTTGGTGAGATACTTTTCAATAACTTGTCACCACAATTAATTGCATATTAGTAAACAGCATAAAAAATAAAAGTATCTCCACAGTATACTTAAAAAAGTAAAAAGGAACATGCCCTGCTTTTTGCAGTTTTTTAATCAGAAATATTGTAATTTTCATCATGATACTTATTCATTTTCTCATTGTCCTCAGAAAAATAAAATTAAAATAACTGTATGTATCATTAGATCTTTCAGTATGGGTCTGCCTTACCTAAAGCAATGTATTCACTATGAATATATCCATGTATTGTCAGATTCATTAAAGCTTAGTGGTGTTCAGAGCTTTTAAACTAAGTTAAAATAACTCTAGCTGAGCTAACAGCTCATTTTCTTCCTAAAGCAGGAAGGTAGGAATTTTACCTGAAATAAATTACAGTTCTTGGACAATAATTTTTGTTGAGCATCTACATAAACAAGATAATTTTGGCAGATTTTCCCCTTCTTATCCCATTCTCTTGATTTTGCCTTAAATTCCTGAAAGACAGCAAAAGAAGGCTCATAAACACAGGGAAAAGAACTTTTTTTCCTTAATTTAAATAACTTTGTAATTTGTATAGTTCTAAGAAAAATCTGTTTTTTTATTAATACATAATCTTTTCATAATTTTGGAAAGAGGAAAAAAAAAAATTATATAAACCAGCCATCCAGCTATCCCCATCAGAAAAAATCCAGTCTTAAGGGCTGTTAATGTGAAAAAACTGGGCAGTAAACATCATCATTGATTAAAAATGATAAAATATTTTAAATCACTTCCATTGCTGTAGTTCTTAAAGTTATGGCTATAATACATGCATTTTATTGGAGGGTAGTTCCTGTGACTTAACAGTTATATCAGTGTCAAGTAGAGTAATCAGCAGGGAATCAAACCCTTAATATTCAGACAAATGTTTTGAGTGCTTGCTTTTTCCCTTTTTTTGAATCAATGGGACAGCAGCTACTGTGAATAAATTTTACGGCTTGCTCTCTTTACAATAGCTGCTTCTGGTTCTGAGTTCACCTAGTTTAAACAAAAACTTGTTTAACAAATTCTATTATATCAGATTTATCTAATACTATTTTTATATTTGCACTTATATTCCTATTTATAGTGTATTTGAATTTGCTCTTAAGTTATACCAGCTCTTACATGTTCAAAACTAGACTTTAAAGGCAGTACCCTACAAAATAAGTAGAACTCCAGCTACTAGAGCTGTTGCTCTTTTAGTTTGAAGAATTAGCAAAATAACAGTATACTGTTTTATACAATGAAAAATACAATACTTATAAGCTGTTATGAGAATTTCCTTTTTCACAATGGAAATGTTGGTTCCAAGAAGATAGATAATTTTTTATAATTATCCTAAACTGGTATATTCCCCAAATATTAAAAAATAAGATTTTATTTGCTACTGAAACAAAATCAAATGCTTTCCAACATAGATTAATACAAATCTTCTCTTACAGCTTTCTTAATATCTGCTTTGGCGTTTCAAACCAATAAACATCTTCCCATATTACAAAATGTGACGCAAACGGAGTTTCAGACTACTTAATGAGGACTGCAGGTTCAAGGCCTTACTAAAGCACTGCTGAGCTTAGTAGATTTTCAACACAGTAATTATTTCCTGAATACTAGAATTTGCTGAATATGTTCCAAGCACTCATTTTTCATACTGCATAATTAATCAAATTATAGCATTGTGTTACATTATTTTCACATTTTAATCTTGAATAAGGTCACTCTCAAATTAGCTGGATCAGACAGTTTCACAGTAGTGATATATTTAGTCAATGATAGATGTATAAACCATTTATTATTCTAGTAGTAGCAGATGTTGGCAGCTATGCTGCAGTCCAAAGTGCAGTAGCTTTACTGATGGTAGAGGACTCTTCCATGCGGAAGAAACAGCAACATTATGTAGAGCTAAGATGTGTCTAGGATGTGTCCTGCTATGTAGGAACAATCACATGAAGGTCACAGAAGTTAGTCCTCTGTCTTACAGAATAACATAGAAGATAGGCAAATTCAAAATAAAGATCCTAAAACTCTTCTTAATTGCAGCTTAAGTATGAAAGTACTTAAAATCTATTAGACCTTAAATTTTTGATTGAAAAGTTCTCAAAGTGTGTAAATAATCTATATCATACATCTACATCAACCTACATCATAAGCCTATAAGTCTTCACAATGCTTAGCAACTAGGCAACTAGCTCACACTTTCAACTGGTGTTCCTCTGCTTACTTTCC